GGCGGGCAGTACATCCCAAACTGTACGGCTAGGGCGATTACAGGTAACTCGACAACATCACCAGAAGATCGCGCGCTGAAGACGACGCCGTGAGTTGGAACCGCTGATCGACAAGGAGTGGGCTAGGGGGTGGAGACCCCCCGGTGAGTGACCCCATTCTTAATCATTAGCGACAGATAAGTCAGGTGTGTCTGTTTTCATATTCGTGATTGGGGCCGAATTGTCGCGGGGCCGGACCTGTACTAGAGCGTCACATGTAGGGGTGAGTGAATCTGTAGTTTGCAATTGGCTGTAGCCGTTTGACCGTCATTGATAATGAATATTTGTTGATAATTTGCGCTAAAGCCGCTATCTGGCCAGGGATCGTCTTACAGTATATTACATAACGAGAATAGTACACAGCCTATTACGCACGACTTCAAAAATTGCGCACGAGCCCCGTAGTGGCGAGTGCAGTAATTTAACGAGTGCGGAATAGGTGTTTGCATTCGAGTTATGTACTATACTTTTTCTACGACCACCAAAAAAAGCACATTTTAACAAAAAATGTATTCCATTTTATCATAATAATTAACATACTACGCAACATTGAATAAATAGCCCATAAGGACGATGCTTTGAACTGTTTCGAAATTTCGCCAAAATAAGCGAGACAGCAACATTCTCAGAAAACGATTTCACTTTGTTCTTTAATCTCCAGTCCATAAAATTTGTTGAGATTATTTCATATCGCTTTTTAGATTTTGCTGCCACAAGGTAATCTGTCGCCTCCTTAAGTCATTATCATTAGCTTTGTCGACAATATTTGGTGGTGTACAAACAATCTCGGAATCTGATTCAGATGACATTATGTTGTTGTAGTAATAGAGAAACTCACAATCCACAAAATACCTTCTTTAGACTTTTCTCTGACATAACTTTTGTATTTTGTGAACAAAAGTCAAACGTGCATGCCTGCCACTACGCATATACTAAAGAAAAAAGTTCCTATTTGCAGGTAAATAAAGGATTAATTTAATACAAAAAAGAAGGATAGTATATGTAGAATATAATTCTTAACTAGATTTATCTTGAAAATAAAAAACATTTTCATATTATCATTGTAAATGGTATAAGAAGGTGAGATGTACTGCCAACATATTTTTAGTAAAACAAATAGGTCCCTATTCCTTACACACAGCCATTACACACAACTGTGCGTAAAGAATCATTTACACAGTGACTAGATTGTACAAAATTAGCTATTTACAATAGTGGGAGTAGAAAAAAGAAATTTATACTTTATGTACTTTTTTACACGTTAATACAAAATAACAGAAAAGTTTTGTATAAAATGCCCATGGAAATATCTACTGTTCTCTTTCCACGAATATTCCAAACATCCATCTTTTAAAATAATGAAGGTATGGATTTTTAAATATTGCTTTTTTTACCCAAAATGTAAATATTGTTACGTTTAACGGGCGAATAATTAATCGGGCGTAGGTAAAAACTCAACAATTTATTTCTTTAACTCGAATTACACTACTAACTATAACAGCGATAACTTCGCAACTTCAATGCATTCGCTCAATCCACTTTTGACTGAATTATGAATGAATCATTCCCGAAGGTGGCGTCTATTTAAATCCTTATTTCAACGTTTCATTAAAAAATACTTTTAAATGAAATCCTAGGCGTTTAAGACAGTCTAAAAATAACTCAATTTTTATTTTTAGAGGACGTATTTTGTTATCAAATTTTATGTTATCGCATTGCTCTCCTGACGTGGGATTTTGTTTCTATAACGATAAAATATCGGTACCGATAAAATGTGGTCGTCTTTTTCTTTCGCATCTAAAATATATATTTTCGTCCTTGGCATTTATCGCTTCGTACCGTATCGCTAGAAACAAAATCCCACCCCTGGTCCCTACCCCCAACTCAAAAATTTTAAATGTCGAATGACCCTTCTTTCGAAATGGATTTTAATACTGTATCTGGCTTTATAACAATATTGTGAGTTTATTCTTCCATTTAATTAAAAAATCAATGAACTTCCTTAAATCATGTTTAAAATTAAAATAAAAAATGTTTATTTGCTTTACGGAACATATACATATTGTTGTTAAAATAGTGATGAAAACACATTTTATAGTTTTACTGATACTTAACATTCGGACGATCTCCCTTGTAGCTGTTAATTTGCTAGTAGTTAACCAAGGTTTTTAATTTCTTATAATGAATTAATTACACTAATTACTAATTAGATTTCAATTTTATAAGGTGTTCAAAATGGGCCCATTCATTTCTATATGCATTGGTAGAGCATGCATTCAAATGGTTCCCACACATTACAATATCTCTTCTACCCATGAAAAATGATAGTTAAAAAGACTCACAATTAAATTCCCTGCTAGAGCTCAGTAATAAATGTTAGTCAATAGTATCTGCCACTTTAGTAAGTATGTTAATTTAATAAAATTGTTTTTAAATCCTAAATTATCTAGTAATTGGGCACAAGTATGGTAAACCGCTAATTAAAATTTATCTTTTTTCCTCCCAAAAGTTATAATTTTTCGAAAAATCTGAATTTGTTTGACCGTAATGCAGAAACGAGGGAAGTTCTGTCTAAATAACCTTAGACCTGTTTGTTTTTTAAACTTCTAGCTACCTAAATTTTTGGTAAAAACCATCCAAACTATACTGCAAAAATTAATGAATGCGTGGATTTATTTTATTGATTTAATCAGGAACTGCAAAACCGAATTCTCCGAAATCTTGCAGACATTTTAACGTTACCGTAAGCATTATACTCAAAATGTATTTGTTTATCCCTTATACTTTCTAAAATGTGCATTCAAATTCTTATGCAGGGAGGCAAAAAATTAATGAATGAAACACTTTATTTTGATTAAATCAGATATCGCTTACTTTATTTTCCCGAAATTTTGGCATTACAGTAGTGTGATTGTTATTATTACACTGTACCGACTCAAATTGAATGTATCCGTGCTAAAAAGTAGATGACACACTCAAAACATCATTGTTTTATTATCAAAAAAAATCACTTGAAACATACATATATCATGCTTTTTTGCCTGTAGTTTAACAATAATCCAGTTATATCTTTTTTAAATTTACAGGGGTCATCGTGAAAAATAAGGAAGTTCTGTCTAAATGATTTTAGACCAGGTGTTGTTAAATGTTATTGCAGTTCTGGTGTAGGGTTAATTAGTTATACAGCGTGATACATTGAAAAATACTGATAAGAACGCTTATATCATGTTTAAATTTTTTGAAACATTTTTGAAATCCCTGCTGACACAATTTTTCAGGAACCTGCCGTTTATATTTTTATTAATACAAATGATGAAACATTTGGAGATAAGAGTTTGAATTCTCTTCACCATTTTCGATAAATTTATAACTTACTACCTATGCCAAAATGAAGAACATTTGTACCTCGGCCTAAGAGAACTTTTTCGGGCTCATCTATTTTGTAGGGCTCGGCTACTCGTCGGCCTCAAACTTCGGATCAGCCGAAAAAGTTCTTCTTTATGACTTTATGGCCTTGCTTAATTGGAATTTTTGGCTCTTTTCCATTCATGAAAGTATTTGTAACATTTTTCATACCTATTGTGTTTCAATTTCTCGGGTAGTAAATTTGCAATTGCTTCTGCAGCTTCGCCAAAAATATTAAGATCTTTAGAATTATCCATTTATGTTTGCCGTGTTTAGTTAGTTGTTATAAACAGGCATGTTGTTATGGCAACTGTGCAATTTTACCCAGACATCATTGTCATAAATCAAAAATTATTTTTCAAATTCTGTTTTAAAAGCGAAAAAATAGCATGTTCAGTGCGTAAGAAAATGTTTTCTATGCTGGTGCGCTTCGCTCTTTAATTAAACCTTTTACACTCATTGGAAATCAACCACTTTCCTTTACTTATAAAATAATTTACTATATCTAAAAACACTGAAGTTTAAAATTTTCGTAGAACTGTATCATTGATTCAGAAAGTATAGAACATTCAACTGATTCTTTTATATTATTATTTTATTAGTTCTCTGCAGAAAGCTGATGACGTAGGAATAAAAAAACTTGTAAATAAATGAATACATGGTTTTTCAACAAAATAATCGTGTGGTATTGTTTGTGCACTTCAATAATACTTTTTATTTCTTAGAGTTTACTGTGCACGTTGTTATAAAATAATACTGTATAAACTAATTTATCTTATCCGCTATCTTAGAAACATTTACAACAATAATTATAACGTTAAAACCTCTCAACATTTCAGAAAAATGATAATATAAAAAATGTGTGCTTTTATATACCACGTTTTTGATATAACCCTTGTAACTTTTTTATTTTTAAAGATAAACATATAGTTCTTTGAGCAAATTTGTATCATTTTAAAAGATCACTTATGTAAATAAATGCCATGAGTGTCAATTTTTCAAGCTATTAGATTGTCATCAATTAATATGAATTTTTCGTCTATTTTATGGAATAACTTTTTAAATATCGATTTTAGAATATTGGTTGCTTTTGATTTTTTGGAAAAACCAATCTTTCCATTTATGAAAAAATATAGCTAGTGTTCCATAAAAAAAAAAGTTGACGTCTTTTCCGGTTCTATCGAAAATGATAATAAAAATATGAGGTTGTCATTACATAGATCTTATAAAATGATACAAATTTGCTTAAAGAACTACAGGTTTATCTTTAAGAATAAAAAAGTTACAGAGATTGTATCAAATAAAAGAAACATCTGTATATACTATAAATATTTGGCATTTGAACATCCAAAATTTTGTCATCCATTACTTTTGACGAAACGTTTTCAATGATTTAATTATAAAAATTTCCCATATCCGTCAAACGTAGATCCGTGTTGCCCTTCCATTTTCTGAAACGCTCTTGCAATCATCCCCTACTAAAAATATCTTCATCTCATCTAAAGAATATAAAAGGTGACTGCTGCTTGTAGGCATTCATTGTAGCTCGTAAAAGCGATACTGAAGTGTATTTTCTGTAGTGAGATAGAAAGTGGTGCCTACGTTAAGGAGGGACCATATAAAAAGGTTAATCATCGCAGAGGACTTCTTCAGTTTAAGTGTAGTGTTTGTTAAAAATAAAAGTGATACCAGGTTAGTAGTGGAATTTAGTTTTTCTTTCCAAACATTATTACTTACAAGTCTGCTTTTTAATATACTACATACATAACATCCACAATGGTAATATTTTTGCTTTCATTTCCACCTTTTACTTTTATGCACTTTATAGAAAGTATTAATTTAGTGTCTTTTTTTTTAATTAGTAATATCGTTAACAGAACAAAATTGTATTGCAAACGACATTATTAATTTTAACCCAGCGATCCGAAATAGGTTCCTGCGATTATTTCCTATTTTCGATATAAGTAAAAGTACTAATTTTAGATTAAAAAAAATTACCATCACAATCGTACACGTACATACAACATATACCATAATGTATATACAACATATATGTAGTTGTAAAAAAATAAAACGTTACCATTTAACTTTAATATTTACTTTTAGAACCACATATGTACTCAGTGTATTATATTACATTTTCATATATTTCACTCAAATTGATGTAAAGTTGCTACATCGTCATTTATATGAAAAAACTTACACAATAATCAGTGTTAGAAATCAATAATGTCTTCATATCTTATTACGACGTACTTAATTCAAAATCTAAAAATAATAAATACAGAGAAACTTAACTAGTGTGCAGTATGTTATTACTGATTTCACTTTTCTTTAATGGAAGTAACAAATTTTGAAACTTTACGAAAACGTTTTTACCGAAAAACCTGCTGAAAATCGTATACAAAATCGTCTACACGAAATCAGTTAATATTTCCTTACTATTAAAAAAATAAAAATGTATAAACACAATATTTTACCACGGTAATGAACTCGTGGCCATGACCGTAGCAAGATCATTGGAAAGTAGTGTAAGACGTTATATTTGCATCTCTCACAGTCGTGAACGTAGGTAATTTTACTTGTCGCATTCGCTCACTTTCACTTCGATTTCAACGGAAGTTAGATAGACTATTGTTTTAAGTTGAAACAAAATATATCTCAAGTAATTAATTATTTTCCACACAAAAAAGTAGGTCACTGTAACAATTAATTGTAAACCAAGTAGATGTATGTAAATATTTATTCTCTTAAGATTATTTAGGTTCTTATTACTGTTACTGCAAATACATTTAATTGATTGTTTTCTGTCTTTTCTACGAAATAAAATATGACATCATCTAATTATATCAATTCAGTGGAAAAGTAAGAAAGTAAAAGCGATAACCTACTTATTCTCAAAGAAGTGCCACCTACTGCATCATGCCAAATCAGAAAATACGAAGGCGTTGATGTGCGAATTTCACTTTTACATTGCAGAAATAACAACTTTCTTTATATCTAAATCGGCAACATAGATTAATCACACTTGAATTAACTGAAAAGTTTTAATCTTAAAAAAAGTAACAGCTTTTTGTAGTCTTTTATAAAAAAAATATATACTTAAAAATATTTTTTTAACAACATTAAACTATTTTTCTGAAGAGATAGCAGAATGTTATCTGATATAAATGTTTATTATTATTATTGTATCAATTGCTGATTTTTCGTTTATCAAAAAACTGTACTAATTCCACTACCAATCAATTTGGTATGTTTAATTAAAAAACAAACAAAAAATACATTAAAAAAAATGTTGTTTCTGAATTTTCTGTGGAGAGATCTAGATGTACTACACGTAATTAAAAATCATACAAATTTCGCATATTGATGAGAAGGTTTTTTTGTACAATAAAATGCCATAATTTTTATGAAGTTCCACATTTAAAGTTGCCTTAAAGATTTAAAGTGAACTATAAACCGCACTACATAACTTTTCGCTTATACTGGAATAAGTACAAAAATGTGAACATACTATATACTATATCTATAACAAATTGGTCGAACTGACACATTTAGTAATTTCAACATTAAACATAGGTGTATAAAGATTATATAAAGATTTTACTTATTGCATATGCCGTAAATATACAACGCATATAAAAATATGATCAGAAAGTCATATCATTTAAAGTCAAAATGATAATTGATACTAACTTCCGACTTCAGTTGCAAATATGTTAACAAAACATTTTTTTAGTTTAAATAAACACTATTATTTTCTTTAGCAAAAGCAATCAGAATAAATAGGCAACGTTCAGAAAAACATGAGATATAATATTTAGACGTATCTAACGGACAAAGAATATTATTTTTCAGCCACCATCAGTGACATATTTTTTTAAGTAGTTGCAATAACTTTTTTACACGTGTTAAAAGTACAACTTATTTTCCGTCCTCGATATCTTTTCGATAAATATACTCACAAAGTAAGCTACCACTTTTTGGATGTATCATAAATTATACGCAACGGTTGTAAATAAAGTTAATAACAGCCGTCTATCTAGAAAGACATGTGTGTTCGAGTCATATAAAATGCGTACTTCATTAGTGCAAAAAGTAGTACCACCTAAATAGGTCTACCCTTGTATTTTTTCATAATATATGATAATTAAAAGTATTAAATTTTAACTATTTTCAGATATGCGCTTCATATTGATCATTGCCTGCGTGGCAATGTGTAGAATGAGTTTTACTACTGCAAAAGAAAATGGATGGTCCTGGGAAGACAAAAAAGAACAACCTTTGACAACGAATATACAACATGAGGAACCAGAAGCAGCAGGCACAGAATTTATTAAACAGGGCAGTGAAATAAATTCCACAGAAGTCGAACAAATCATTGAGCACATTCTTGTGTCAAACAGACAAGGGAGAAATGTCGATGGATTTGACGAAGTATATAGCGATCCAAATGTACAAAATGCTTTACAAAAGGGAGATGACGTCGAAGCCAGAAACATAATTAAAGATCGTCTGTGTTCCTTGGGTCTTATGCAAGTATGTTTTGAATTAAATATTTGCCTATTAAAAACTAATTCTGTAAATTATAGTGTGAAGACGAAAACATACAAGGAAAACGACCCTACATATCTCCGGAGGAGTTGATTTATGCACAACCCGTTGCAATCAATCCAGTTGGTCGTCCAATTCCAACAATTCCTTTAAAAGGACCATCGAGAGGCATTTATGGACCACCTAAACCAGTTCCCTTTCCACATGGTGGTCCCCCCAACAAATTTGGGCCTCCCGGAAAACTAGGCACTTCTCCACATAAACCTCCCAGACGTGGTTACGGACCACCATTACCCTCAAAACCATTCTACGGTCCACCGGGAAAACCATTCCTAAATGAACACGAAATATACGAAGGACCTGAGTTTATTGCGAAACCTCCGTCATTTATACAACCGATTGAACCAGAAACACCATACCCTTTCCAACAAAGCAGCATTCATTCGCAAAAGGACAAAAAAGTTGAGGTAGTTGTAACCGCACAAGGAGGAACCGCCGGTGCAAATGGCCTACAACAACATGTTCATCACCACTACCACCATAATGCTGATACCATTGGAAATAAATCTCCAACTGTTGTTGTAAATCCAGTGCCCGTTGCTAGTGCAGCTGCTGTTTCCTCAAGTTCATTTGGCAGTAGTTTGCTTGAATCACACGGGTCGAATTACTTTAAACCAGCTGAAATTTCATCTTCCTCTGGATTCAATCCAGTGTCGTCAAGCTATGGTCCAGGACTGTCCCATTTTGGATCTAGTGGTTTAACAATTGGAGGGTCAAACTTTGGAGGATCAAGTTTTGGAGGGTCAAGTTTGGGAGGGTCAAGTTTTGGAGGGTCAAGTTTGGGAGGGTCAAGTTTTGGAGGATCTTATGGTGGTCAGACAATCGCTAGTTACGGTACTTCTTCCCCAAATTTAGGATACTATGATAAAATTAAACCCGTCACTGAATCATTTGGCTCCGGTAGTTTTGGTGCTTCAGTAGGTTCTTACGGATCATCTGGTCTTTACAAAAAGGAATTACAGCTAGGCAGCAATTCTATAAATTCTAACTATCTTCAGACGGGTTATGCAGACAAATATCAAGGTTTGGAATCTGCAAGAGCAGAAAACTATGATTGCGTATGTGTACCATATGATCAATGCCCCTCCCACGACATTATTGGAAGAAAAGATGATTTATATCTTCCATTAGATCCTAGAAATTTGAAAACTGATATCGAGGCATTAAGTGAAGATGAAAGAGTGATTACAGACAGCAACGGTACGATGACCATAGTTCGTGTACCTAAAGGCGCTAGTTTCAATGAAACGACAGTAACAGGCAAAGAAATCAAAGAACAAGAAACTAAATCTATAACCAAACGCGATACGTCGTCAGAAGAACAAAATGAGAAAGCCAAAATTGAACCAGTAAGTATTTATGTTGTCAATATTTTAACATCCGTCAATTAAGATTTAATCTCTGGGAATAAATTTTACGCTTAAAACTCCCAATGCTATTAAAAATTTAACAGAGAACTACTGATCATCTGAAAATGTAATTTTATTAGTCGTGACGAGGTTTTAACTCCATCATATATTTTTTACCAATTTAAATGATAAACATGATATCCATTAATTATTAATTAATTAACCAATTGCTAATTAATTTTTGAACATTTTATTTATTAATAGTTGAGGGTTTGTTCTGGTCTGGATTGATAAAAAATCGTCAAATTACTCCTGCTACTCCGCCGCCTACCTTACAATTTAATTACTAAATTTTTGTCTGTAAATTTTGTATCATAACTGACACTTAACAAGATAAACGGTTAAAATTTTAAGAAAGGTAAATTTTACAGCGACAATCCTACGGGACATATACCAACAACAACAACAACAATAAGAAAGTGAAACCTACTTTCGGAATATCATTTGGTTTACCCAACCAGGGAGGCGGTGGGTACCCTATAAATCCCTATGGGTCTAATCCTTTCGTAAATCCCTATGGTGGATCAATAGGAAATTCCGGAATCAATCTCGGATTAGTTTCCGTAAACCCGTTAATTTCTTTGCAAGTTACTAAAGATGACTATGGAGAAAAAATTTTAAAACCGTTCGTCAATTTACATGTTACTCCCAATAATCACTTACTCCACAAGTTCCATGACCTGTTTTCTTATAAGAAAAACTTAATTTTCAACAAACACAAACATCTTCACTTCCACAAACCGCATCACCATAATGTTCACTATTATCCTTCACATACATCTCACGATCCGCCAGAACTACACCACGGTCCTCCATCATTTCATCATAGTAGCCCTTCTGTCGAACATCATCCTGGATATCATTACGGTTTTCCGCCTGCGGAATTAAATGGCGCTCCTATTTCTTACGACAGTAGCCATGATTACGATTCCAAAGGTCCACACTATGATCCAAATTCTCCAGTATCATATTACGACGATCCCCATAATTACGGTGGTAGTCACGGAGGATACTATAGTGGTAGAGCATATGATAATACAACTGATGTAGTTAACGGTAATAATTTAATAACTCAATATGAGCAACAGTACGATGACGGTCAAGGGATATACGGTAGTCAAAATTCAGATCATTCTACAAATTATGAACCTATTGCCCAGAATCCTAATTCCAGACGTGGTAAAAGTATATCCACCTCTACTCCCATTAAATTCCCTTCCAGTAGAAAAAGACGTGACGTGACGCTGACTGAGACGAACGAACATAACTTTACGAAGGTAAAGTCGATTTACCTAAAAAATGAACTATCCATAACTGTGTTTCATTTTTGAAATGTGTAATAATTTACAGCGTCAAGCATACTTTGGACGTCCTTCAACCTGTGGCCCTAGACACGTTTGCTGTAGGAGACCTCTTCGTCCACATGTCCCTACTCCTGGACACCGACAGTGTGGTACAAGACATTCTCAAGGTATCAATGGTCGAATTAAAAATCCCGTTTATGTTGATGGTGACAGTGAATTCGGTGAATATCCCTGGCAAGTCGCCATTTTGAAAAAGGATCCAAAAGAAAGTGTTTATGTCTGCGGTGGCACTCTTATCGATTCATTGCATATTCTTACCGCTGCTCACTGTGTAAAAACGTAATCATTTTACATAGTTCCACCGGCAAATGAATTAATCATAATTTGTCTTTTAGGTATACTGGATTCGATCTGCGAGTTCGTTTGGGCGAATGGGACGTAAACCACGATGTCGAATTTTACCCATACATAGAACGCGACATCACGAATGTTAATGTTCATCCAGAGTTTTACGCTGGTACTCTTTATAATGATATTGCGATTTTGCGAATGGATAAACCAGTTGATTGGTCAAAACAACCACACATTAGCCCCGCTTGTTTACCAAGTCTACATGATGACTATACGGGAACTAGATGCTGGACCACCGGTTGGGGTAAAGATGCATTTGGTGATTTTGGAAAATATCAAAACATCTTGAAAGAAGTTGATGTGCCAATTGTCAATCATGGTCTTTGCCAAAGGCAGTTACAGCAAACTAGATTAGGCTACGACTTTAAACTCCATCCTGGATTTATTTGTGCTGGAGGTGAAGAAGGCAAAGACGCTTGTAAGGGTGATGGAGGTGGTCCAATGGTCTGTGAAAAGGGTGGAACTTGGCAACTGGTGGGGGTAGTTAGTTGGGGTATTGGATGTGGTCAGGTTGGTGTACCTGGGGTGTATGTTAAAGTAGCTCACTACTTAGACTGGATTCGTCAAGTTACACAAAGATATTAATTTAATTTATGGGTGAAACCAACCATAATTTATATTTTGTAGGTACTAATAACGTTTAACTTATTTTTTTATGTAGGCAGTTTAATTTCTTTTTACATTACCTGAAAAAAAAAATGGTAATTATGCATGTGATACTTTTTTCCCGAAATGTTATTTATATATAATAAATTATTTGTCATATTAAGTGAGTTTTTTTACTGATTTTCATTAATATATATTAAATTTTACTCATTTTCTTATCCATCAGAAATGTAATGTCACATTCTCATGCATTTTTCAAAGAAATTGATTCTTGTGACACTTGACACGTTTCTAAAAGTTGAAAGCAACGATTATTGTGAACAACTTCCATCTATTCGTAAATCGACAGTCTTAACAACGAAACAAATTGTAGTTATATACAGTTCGCGGAAAATTTAAAACTTAAAAATTTCAAAAGTAGCGCTAAATTCTTTCAACAAGGTCCGACAAGATTAATTCAAGCCTGAAATTGTGTTAGATATATAAACCGAAACGTGTCAACAATAACAAAGTACAACCATTGTTTAAGTATAAGTACATTAATATACTTAAACAATGGTACAACTGACTACGCAGTCACTCAGTCACTTATAACTACTTTAGACTACGCAGTCCAACTAAACTTCATACCTCGAAGATCTCGAAGATGTCGTACAGAAAAAGATAGCACCTTTTTATTGTTACTGTGCTATTAGACCTTTAGTGTTTTTATCGTTCCTCACTCTGCACGATTACAATTATTCTGACACAGTTATTACACTAAAAAAACATGTTACAACTGAGTTGAAAATGCCCTACGTTTTCCTTTTTTCCATATACTAGATAAATATATAGTGTTTTGAATTTTTTTTTTTTCGGTAATACAGTTTGCAGTTTTCTATTAACTTTCCTGTACACTACACAGCCCAAGTAGAATTGCCAGAGAACTGTTTTTATACTTAAAAACATATTTGATAGCCAATTCTTAGCTTACTGTAATGGAACCACTGGAATCTTCGTTGACCACTAAATGCACGATAACACTAGCACGTTTATGAAACCCCAGAAACACAAACAAAAGCACAAATCCAGGGATTTTTGCAGTCTCAGATTGATCAGGATCTCGATCGAGGATAGAGAACCAAAAATTTCGTGTGTGAAAATGTCTTTAGTAAGCCAAGTCTCTGTTAATATAATTATGTCGTAGTCTGCATTAAGGGTTGATTGAAGTAGAGTTGTTCGGAGACCGCGGACACTTTGACAATAAACTTTTAACCAGTGGAGTTTTTTTTTTGTTACAATTTTTGGAACACCGTTGATAAATTTAATAGTTTTGTCTGTTACACCACTTAAGATAAGATTATTTAATTCCACACGAATGGTTTTTAAATATTCACGCTGCATCGGAGGGTTGACATGAATACGGAAATTTCGTTTAATTTTTTAAATTCGCGTGGACATCTTCGGGCCTTTCGAATATAACTTTGATGGGACGGTTTCTTTCCTGAGAATATTTTCCAAGACGAATAATCTTTATTGCGTCCTTGGCCACTGATTCGGAGACATTATGTACCGCTCTTTAGATCTTATTAAAATCTTGATTATTGACTTCATCTTGAAGGCATTTTACGGTGTTGGATAAATCTACTATGTTGTTTAGAATCGTCTTATATCCGAACAATTCTCACAATAAAATTTTAATTTACGGTTTTCTGATTTTAAACGGGATACTTCACTACATGAAAGGCCACTACAGTTGACTCCGTGATATCCATTTTTACATAAGTCGCAATGTACGTCGGCACCACTTCGTTCACACTTTGTACATGTTGTCGACATGCTGGACACAATGGGTAATAAGTATGTATATGATAAATTAACAAAAATTAGTTAAATATTGGAATAGCCATGGAGACATGCACTTCACAGCACAGCTCACTCATTTATATATGTGCATTTATTTATAAATTAAAACGATTTTTAGTTGTTAAATAAATGCTGTGAATTTATTCAGTGATTCACCAAATGTGATGTATTAAATGAGTGAAATAATACAACTTGGTCATATACCTAACTCTTGTACCCTGGAGCAAGTTAAATTATCTCAGACCTGCACATAAAAAAACTATCTATATGTTATTCATCAAATCAAAAACTTCAACAGTTTGAGTAAATTTTATTTGATTTTGTTATCACACCTATTGTTTAAACTATTTTTGTTTTTGTTTTAACCAAAATATATGAGGACATAATAATGATGCTCCGTCTACATCACTCTTCTATTATTTCATCACTCAACTAATTCTGTTAATATCAGACGTGATAATCATGTTCAATTATATAAATATTTAAATACTAATAACACGACAATGTAAAAATTAAAAATTCTCAATTCTTTTTAAAAAAACTCATGAGAGTTCGCTGTTTAACATTTGTTTGCTTTTTAGCAACTTTTCCTTTATTTCCAGTGGGTTTTGTCTCCAAAGCAGTATTCTCAGTTTTCTTTTGTGACTGGATTATATCTACTGGCTTTTGTCTTGAAAAATCTTTTTCTTCATCTTCTGACGCAGTCTCATAGATGTATTCAGTTGTTGTAACTAAAATAAACTAAATCATGTCACTGAAGTGGTGTTTATACAATTTTACCATAAAATCCTTCATCATCAACATATGTTTTGTCAACAGCTTTTCTTCTTTTGTTTTTTGGAACAGGAACTGGAATTGGAATAGGAGTAGGTGCTGGTTCATCTTCTGACATTTCAATTATATCTTCATTTTCATCATTATCAAAGATATCTACAATAAAATCACTTACAACTAGTACAGTCTATTTTATATTTATTTACCACTACTATCCGAGTCACAAACTTCTTGAATACGTTTCCTCTTTTTATTTGGGCCTTTATTTTTATTATCTTTCTTTCTCTTCTTACTAGTGCTTTGATCATTTATGACCTTTGTGTCCTTATCCTGGTTCTCAATATCCATCTTTTTTTCAGTAGTAATTTGCTTATTCTCATTATTTTCTTGATTATTGTCCTTAGCAGTATGTTCTGCAAAGACCTCAATTTTTTGCTTTAAACTGGTTTTATTTTCATTTGTCAATGTAACACTATTCTGGAGCGGTTTTGACGCTGCTTTGGCAAAAAAACTCACAATACCACCTTGTTTTGGCTGAAATGGCAAAGTTAGCAAATGGGAATGATTAATTATATAATTACCTTATTCTGTTTTTGTGACGATTGTGAACAGTCTTTTCCATTTTGCTGTAAGGTGTTTTGTGACTTTCCGGTGCTAGTATCTTTTGAGTTTTTGATGCATATTGCAGCATTTTTTGCTGTATCTGTAGCCTGCACAGGTGGTAACTTCCTTGATCTCACAGTTCTCTTAATACAATTTTTGCTTATAAGTGGAGGACCTGAACTATATTAAAAATAAAACCCACAAAGAAAAAAATTATATAACACTTTACCCATTTTCACTGACAGAATTTGTTGATGCTATTACATTCAAGTCAATATGTTGTCCTTTCTGCACACTATAAACAATCTCACCAGAAATGTTGTCAAAGAGACTTCTTTTATCATTTAGTTTATTCTGCTCTGCAAGATAAATTCCAACACCTTTGTTGTTTAGCAATTTACCACATATCAAAAATGTAAGGTACAAATCCTCAGAGTTTGTTTTATTGGTATCTCTAACAAAGGCATCAAGTAGATACTGAGCATCAGATTTTGGAACCTCCAATTCTTTTGCTAATGATGTTGTGGTTACCTGTTAAAATCGAAAATAATGCTTCATGCATCACATGATACAAGTACTTACAATTTTATCTTCGTCATAAATAAGCTCTTTAAGGCGTTGATACTGTGAATCGTGAGCAGTACTTTCCATTATTCCTATTAATAATTGCACAGAGTTTTATACATAAGAATGGAATATAAAAATAATTTTTTTGTTATGTGACTCAGAATTCACTTTATATAAAATTTGATCATGACATTAAAAGCCCGCCATAATGTTAGACTTGAAAACATAACCTATAAATAAATGACAACTGACATTTGAAATGGAATAATAGACGGTGTTTCTGATGCCGACGACGGTAAATTCTATCAGCACAATTCGGCTCATCGGCTGATCGAGATAGCGAGGCGCCATGTAACGGAAAAAATGTGAACCTTGCAGAGGGGGATCACGGCCTCCTTGATATGAAGATAGAGTAAAAACTCGGGGATAAATTGATATATCACGATCGAATATAACCGGTTTAAGCTCGTTTAGCCTCGTTAGTGAGTGTTGTGTGTTTAGTGCTGTTTTTGTGTATGTGAAAGGGTTTTTGATGTTTTTGGACAATTTTGCGTTTTTTAAACAGTTTGTTTGTGTTAGTTTGTAATTTTAGTTTAGTTTTTAATCGTAATTATGTTGATTTCCATCCGGACCGAAAAACGAGACCTCTTGAAGAAAACGAAAACTCTGTCTGGGGGGATTAATCGGCAATTGTACTTTTGAGGGGCAAAACATACAAGCGCGGTGCATAATCTCAAAAATAAATGCCCCGCCGCATGAAATTGAAATTGAATTTGCCGATTATTCACGTAAAGTGACATCGTCACAATATTATATTGATACAATAGTAGGTATATATGTCTTATCAGATTACAAACAATGGAAATGTGCCTGCAGTTGCAAAGCAGGAGCAGGAAGAAAATGTAAACACATTGGGTGGTATGAATAAAACTGAGTAGTTGCTCATAATAACAATATTAATAATAATAAAGGTTATTGCCCAACAGATACAATCCAATTACTGGACAATTATTACTTTCAATAGTGGTAAAATAAAATAATAATATAATATATTTATTTAATAATAATAACAATATTTATTCCCAACAGGTAATACACCCAGTTACAGGGAAACAGCAAAATATACTCTAAAACTACAAAATTAAGTAACAAAACAATCAATAAAATAAACAATGTTAAATATAAATGTAAATATGTAACTCATATTCGTTCCCAAACTAAATTATTACCTAGCCCACACTTATAAGCTATCATTATAAACTAAATAAATGAACACACATTACAGTTTACCTGGGAGAACAAAAATATCATCATACAGTTTATCGACATCACTGTACATGTGAACTAACGATGCTTCCCTCAGCAAATTCGTCCTAGAAATTGGTAGATGAAAAGTGGCCATGTAGCGAGACGCAACACGTGGTACATGAAAATTGATTCTTTCCAACTATTCAGGACAATCTATCTTGCCATTTATCAATTTGGATATGAAACGAGCACTGTGCTCTTCACGTCGATTCTTTAAACTAACAAGTCCATGTTTCTGAAGGAGGTAATTGTAATCTATATTTCTTTGAGGATAAAATCCATCAATCTTATAGGAAAGATACTTCAAGAAGCGACGCTGTACCTTTTCTACAGCAAGATTATGTATCACATAGTAAAGATACCAGACAACAGAGGCATATTCCATCTTGGTTACGACGTACGCAAAATACAGACTTTTTAACAAAAGAGGATCTTGAAAGGTTTTTGATAGCCGAAATATAAATCCAAGCATTTTAGATGCTGAGGTGGATATATGTTACTGATGTGCTCCACAAATGAAAGGTGCAAATCAAAAAGAACGCCAAGATCTTTTGTCTCATTCTTCTTGCAAAGAATCCGACCGTGGATGGTATAGTCTGATTTTACCACATTTACTTTCCTACTGAATGTCATTACGTAACACTTATCTGCATTTAATAACAACTCAGACTTATTGCACCAATTTACTAATGTATCAAGGTTCTTTTGGAAGGTTTTAACATCATCTCTGTTTGCAATGGGACAGTATAACTTCAAATCATCAGCGTATGCGAAAACTTTACAGTTAAGTGAAAGAAGCAAGTCATCAATGAAAAGACGAAGAGGAGAGGGCCTAGATTGGAGCCTTGAGGAATACCGGATATACTTACAAAATTGAAAGAACGGTAACCGTTATAAGTCACGTAGTTAGACCTATCACTTAAGTAGGATTCCAAGAGTTTCAAGAAGCTAGAAGCAAATCCAAAAGAACTTAATTTATGTAGTAAGATGCTCATACTCAAAGTACGAAGTATCTACTTCAGTATGATTTCAAAATGTTCCTAGTTTTTCTAGATGATGCTAATATTTGGTACTACTACTAAATACAAAGAGTAGATGCTCAGATATATAAGAGTAGATACTCGCTAATACTGAATAATACTTCGTACTTCGAGCATGAGCATTTACTCACTTTAAGTCATACCACCCATTGTCGCTACCCTGCTGTATGTTTACAAGTAAGTTGCATTGCTTTGTTTTGAAATTATAAACCTTTCAGTAGTGAATTCGAGCATGGACGAGATGGACAAGTCAGAACTTGGATAGACTCGTGGGAAGTATGGCTAGACTACATAATTGAACCTTTGAAACAGCTTATACGCATCTTGTCGGTGCTGCAAAGCATTGGTTTGAAGACAGCAGGCACGAGACAGAAAATTGGGAACAATTTCGAATGACCTTCACCAGTACTTTCGTACATGACACGAACTTAACATTACGATGTAAAACAATATGTATCGTCAAGCATACAGTCTGTGAAAGAAAATGTATCAAATTATTTCGACGAAATGTGGAGCTGTGCAGAAATTTAAGTTGTCGTTTCCTGAAGTAAAAGAGCAAGTAGCTATAGGGCTACACTCGAGGGAACTGGCAAGTATAATAATGGCCCGTTATCACACAAACGAGGACCACTTATTCGAAGACATCATCATATATGAGAGAGCATCTAATGAACGTCGCGAACGGTTCAAGTCGAAGACGGACCATGGGTCAACAGCTAGCAAACAACCGCCAGTGCCTGCTAAGCTGAACAGTGGAAATAATGTACGTACACCAGTGAATGCTAATCCAAAGTGCTTCAACTGCAATCAACCTAGGCATCGAGCCAATCAGTGTCCGAAATCAAAGCGTGAACCTGGTAGCTGCTTCTTCTGTGGTCAACTAAGTCATTATGTGGGTGGCTGTCCACTTAGGGTTGTCAAGACGGAAATGGAAGTCAACAAAAGGACGAACTTGGTGCTGCCACAAGCCAAAATTGAAAAGCAGGCGAATGGACCGACTCCATTTGAGCTCATTGACGCCATATTAGATCTTAGTAGTCCGGTTTCATTTGTGTCCGAAGATGTTGTTCCTGTAAGTCTTTGCATACCGACTAGTCATAGCACAAAATTCATTGGCATTCAAGTAATTGGCTGCATAAGACGAGCAGTAACAATTGGTCAAATTGAAATAGATGTTTTGTTTTGTGTAATCCCCAGAAATAGTATGAAACATTTATGTCTGTTGGGTAGAGATGTTCTCTGTGATGACGGTATTAGGAAGTAAAGATGGAGAAACGTAAGTCTAATGATGATTTTTGTAGCAACGACGTTCTAAATATTGACCTTGGACTTATGCAGCAAAAAGATGACGACATAAGAAAAATCCGAGACGAGTTGATGTTGTCTGAGACTCCGGCATATGAGCTACCAAACGGCCTGGTCTATCGCAAGCATGGTAATAAAATGTTATTTTATGTACCCAAAAGTATGGAAACGAACGTAATCAGAACATACCACGAAGATATAGGCCGCGTAGGCACCGAGAAAGTTTGCGAACTGATTTTTAGGACTTACTGGTTCCCTAACATGAGAGAAAATGTTAAGACTCACATAAAGAATTGCCTCAAGTGTATCCTATGCTTGCCAAAGTCTGGAAAGATAGAAGGAATTCTTCATCCAATTCCCAAGGGCAACGTACCTTTCGAAACCATACATTGCGACCATTATGGCCCTCTGGAAAAGACTGGTAAGAAACATCGCTATATTTTTGAGGTTGTGGCTATAGTTGAGTGATTCAAGAAATAGCGACGGTTATGCTTTAAAGATTTATTTAGAACCTTACTGTTCAAGGACCGAAGGAGGAAGAAGGAAGGATGTTTGAATTTGTCGATAGCTAATTCGGTTTTGGAGAGGTGGAAGCAGGTAAAGAAAAAGAGTTTAGAAATTCTAGAAACTGGAACTGAAAGTAGGAGCATAGGGTAGGTAGACGAAAGATAATTAGATGCAGACATATTTACATTGTAGAGAAATTTTAAATGCATGCACCACGTGTTTTTGGGGGAACGGTTGTCCCCACAAGGTCATAGACGCCTTTTCAAAATTTATTAAATTATATGCATGTTGCACGCGACAGCTACACTCAAACACCTTACGACTTATTTCCAAAACTATAAGAGACCTAACAGAATTATAGTCGACCAAGGTGCAAAATCAAATCCGACGAATTCAAAAGCTTTGCTGCTGACAATATCCAGGTTATTCTCGTCGCCGTGGGTACGCCTCGCGCTAATGGACAAATCGAAAGAATAAACCGAGAGACCCATTGTTCAAGTTGGCACCGGACTTAGATAAATGAGACAGAGTTAGGGGTGAAGTTGAGTTCGCAATGAACAACACTGACCACAAATCAAACGGAAACGCACCCTCCGTCCTATTATTTGATGTACATCAGAAGGACAAGACACACGACCTTCTATCTGAATATCTCCATTCACTTGAAGATTATGATCGAGATTTAAACGGTGTTACACGCAAAGCCGAACAAAATATAGCTGCGGTTCAAAGTTATAACAAGCAGACTTATGATAAGAAACACAAGGAACCCCATAAGTATGAGACTGGCGATTGTGTGGCGAGGACCAACATCGATGTGACGCCACGCTAGGTCTTAATAAAAAACACCTACCTCTTTTCAAAAACCTGTGATAACCCAAACTTCCCGCCTTTAATTGACCTTGAAAAAGTTTGAAAGACCCGCGAGAAATTAAAAAATTCAAAATTTGGCCTTGACTGTGATCGTCTAACAAAAACACACAAACCTACGTTGTGTTTTTTTTTTAAACATGGCGGGAAGACGTTCTTTCATACAAGTGAGCATACAC